TTTATAAGTAGAAGAGGTTGTGCTGGACTCATGAAACTGGGAAAGAGAAGAGATTAAGAATTTTCCCCCCCCCAAAGGGGAGTTGGGGGAGGGGGAAATAGGTTGAGATTGGGTCTAAAACTGATACTGTCCCTGCTAAAAAACGGGTTGACATTTGTGGATGCATAATCAAATATGCCTCCACGTAAAAGTTATATGCAGATGCTGTACATTTTAATCTGCATATTAGCAAGTTGAGATTTATGAGCCAAGCTAGCAAATGCATATATGCAGCCAATATGGTACATGATTAATAATTGTATGACATTGTTTACAAGGATAAAATAAATTCCATTGGATATAAAGAAAGAAATGAGCTCTCAAGGAAAAATCATGGACAAATTTTTGAAACCAACCTTTTTTCAACTTTATTGAGCAAAATCGACCTCGTGGGAAAAAAATAGGCAAAACCGACCCTTTTCAAAAGAAAAGGGTCGGTTTTGCAATTGTGGAGGTTTTACGAAGTGCACGGGACTACTAGTCCCGTGCACTTCGTTGTCGAGAGAGCCTGCTGGAAACAACCATCTTCGGTCGACCGCGTCGGTCGACCGCCACCAATCCTGATGCCCAGAAACTCCTGTGCACGAACGCTCCCGGTCGACCGCCACCCTAACAACCTGAATCCTGAGCCTCGAACCTGATCTCCGCCAATTCTACAATAAAACCATAGTAATCAATGATGGGTCCCACTCATATTCTGATGGGATTTCTACTCGTATTAGTCTGCAAAATATAAATAATCCTGTCCAATTATAAGCCCTAAAACCCTTAAAAACCCCTCGAAGCCCTAGAAAACATCTCAATCCCTCTCTTTCTTCTTCAATTCTCCAATGGCGGTCGCCTGCTTGGACGAGAGCATGGCAGCCAAAGTGCTCCGTCAGGTGAACCACAATCATAAACCTTAATCCCTCTCTTTTTTATGGGAAAATTTCGATTTTTAAACTTTATTTTGGGTGATTTTTCGCAGGTGGAGTTCTATTTCAGCGACAGCAATCTTCCAAGAGACAAATTCTTGAGGGAAACTGTTAATAAGAGCGAAGATGGATGTATGCATACTTCAAGAAACGATATTTTTTTTCTTTTTTAGCGTCTTTTTTATTTCTAGTTCTAAGTTTGGTTGGTTTTTGTAGTGGTGAGCTTGGCTTTAATATGTTCATTTGCTCGGATGAGAAACCATCTCGGTTTGGGTGATGTGAAGGGGGAGGGGGTGCCGGAGGAGATGGTGTTGGCGGTGGCGGAGACATTGAGGAAGTCTACTTTGCTCAAAGTTTCTGAAGACGGTGAGAGTTTTTGTTCTTAAATTTGTAATTTTTATTGATGCTAGGTTTTCTTCAAACCATGTACACTCCCCCCACCCAAATCGACCATATTTGGAAGGACAAATTTTTGAAACCTACCTTTTTCAACTTTATTGAGCAAAATTGACCTCGTGGGAAAAAAATAGGCAAAACCGACCCTTTTCAAAAGAAAAGGGTCGGTTTTGCAATTGTAGAGGTTTTATGAAGTGCACGGGACTACTACTCCCGTGCACTCCGTAGTCGAGAGAGCTTGCTGGAAACAAAGTGCACGGGACTAGTAGTCCCGTGCACTTTGTTTCCAGGAGCCCTTCAATTCAAATGTCTAGCAGCCTTCCATTACCTTGGAAAGACCTCAACTATTCCCTTGTTTATAGAAGAAAAATGGGTGTTGGTTACCGTTTCCATTGGCTATGATGCACGCGAAAGTCATCATCTTAACCTTCCCCATTTTCTCAACTCTCTCACATCAATCTTGACAATTTATTATATAATGTTGGTTCGGTGGGGGGCAATGAGCTTTCCCTAGCTAGCAATTCACCAATTGATATTTGCGTATTGGACAACATAAGGGAAAATTCAGCACGAGTACATCTTCATCCCCATTTCTTTTAAGTTGGAAACAAAGTGCACGGGACTACTAGTCCCGTGCACTTTGTTTCCAGCAGGCTCTCTCGACAACGAAGTGCACGGGACTAGTAGTCCCGTGCACTTCGTAAAACCTTCACAATTGCAAAACCGACCCTTTTCTTTTAAAAAGGGTCGGTTTTGCCTATTTTTTTTCCACGAGGTCGATTTTGCCCAATAAAGTTGAAAAAGGGTCGGTTTCAAAAATTTGTCCAAAAATCATCTTCTACAGTGCTTTTGAAACACTCAGTAGCCTCTAGGAATCCCGGGGTACCTCATGATGGACATCAGATTCGAGCTGTCACAAAGACGTCAGTTCAAATATGAGGCTCTTTGTTCTACAACTTGCACCAAAAACTGGAAGAACATCTAGAGCTGATTCAGTGTTTACCTGTACTTCTCTTTTGTCCATTTTTCTCAAGTATTGCTCAACTTTGCATTTGCCTCTTAGTTGCATAAGAGATTAAGATATACTGACCCAAAACCTAAAGGCAGATCTCTAGTCAGCTAATTGTCTATCCACACTTGGAAGCAAAACCCTTTCTTGACTTGTGCTATGATTACCTTGGCCAAATTCTTACCATGAACTAAAAGCGGTTAGGTGTCAGTTGAATGATTGACTCGGTGTATTATGAATTACTTTAAGGAAAAAAATTGTTTTACTTTTTTGTTCTGTTGCATAATGTTCTCACGTATTTAAAAAACCTGCCTACATCCATTGCAGTTCTTTGTGTATGACTATGTACATTTAAAGTTCTTGTGCAAATCTGCGGTCATAAATCATGTTTGGGAGCAAAATCCTTTCTTGACTCATGCTGTAATTACCTTGGCCGAATTCCCACCATGAAAGTAAAGCGGTTATGTATCAGTTGAACGATTGAATGAGTATATTATGAACTACTTAAGTACAATAATGAATTGTTTTACTTTTTTGATTTTATTGCATACTTTTCTCATATATTAAAAACCTGCTTATATCCATCGCTGTTCTTTGTGCTAGTATATTTTAAGCTCTTGTGCATATCCATGGTGATAATCTGGCTTACGTAAAGAGATAAACTTGGCTCCTCTTAGAAGGATTTGGAACCTTGAATTCAATGATTAGCAATCTATATTGCAATTCCACCCTGTTTAAATACAAAGAGATAAACTTGGCTCCTCTTGTTTTACACCATTATTGTTTTATACATTTATTGTGCTTAAATACAAAGGGTGAAGTGATTGTTATATTTTCCCCCTATCCATCAAGTTGCATGGATGCCTTGTATCTATGCGCTTAAAGATATGGTTTGAAGCATGTAAACAAACAGTCCAGATCATTGATCAGGGGTTATATGCACCTTGAAACCCTTGCATGCACATACTGGTTGAATATGGAAACCCCCTGGACTCTACTGAGTAAGCAACTTTCTATGAGTGGTCATACTGTTTATTTCTGTTTGATGGCACTTTAATTGTGCAAATACACTGGAATTTGGATAGCTCCTTGGAATTTGATTTGGAAGGGTTTGGCTTTAATCCCTCGGAAAGGAGCCAAGCCCATCTCTTTATAGAATTTGTTATGAATTTCTCATTTATACATCTGAAATACTTTCCTTATTTGGTAGTTATAACTTGAAACCTTTCTCCTCTAACACAGAATTATTTTTTTCAACTCAGCCTTATCAACAGGACTATTCTTCTTTCAAACAATTTGCGTTCTAGGCTAATAATGTTAAATGTAACTTTTTCCCCATTCCATTTTAATGCCTTTATTAAGCAAAGCTGTTTTGGTAAGTACTAATTTATATCGTTTATTTCAATGAGCAGCAGCCAAGACCAATTGCATGTTCGTCTTGTGAATCAAATGGTTTTGTGGAGTGTAAGTGGTGTGGAGGAACAGGTTTCTTTATCATTGGCAACAACATGCTTTGTGAAGTGCCATCCAGAAACACTAGTTGTATTATCTGTGCTGGAAAGGTAATTTATACTAACAAGTTCCTGTAAACAATTCTTATATTCATGTTCTTATCATAATTTGTTTATTTACAAGTCCGTTTTTCCTCTCAAGCAAAGGCCACTGCCTGGTCGAACCTAGAACCTCTCATATTCCAGTCCCATTAATTGTTCTTGCACTAGGCCTCAAGAGATAGGCCTCAGGCCCCTTTGTTCAGTAATGCACTTATTAATTGTTACGATAATCCTACAAATTTATGGCAAAATTTCCTTCAGCCAACATTCATTTAAGCATTACTTAAAAAATTAAATGGCAGTTTATGCCTTGGCATCAATATTGTTTTCATCAAATAAATTCTCTACTGTGTACTTATGTGCACCTAGTTCCATGGACATTTCCATCATGAAGCTAATTGTTGGTGGACCTGTTTTTGATACATGTCTGAGACACTCATCTGACACTCATCTGACATGTGTTAACCCAGCTCAAGTATTTACTTGCTAATTTAATACATTTTAGAAGCTTATAGTATATTTCTCTTGCACTTCTGTGGTCACAATGGGGTAATTATTACTTTTAATATCTATCAAAGTCGATATGTACATGTCAAATTGACTTGTGTAGATCCACATTAAATTTGGATAACAGAGATACTCTGTATAAAAAATTGAAGAGAGGGTCTATTCATTTTGCTGAACTCATAAAATTTGTAAGGTTACTTTTTGGCATAAATGTAATCTGTATTTATATTATTAAAGATATATATGTAAAATTTTGGATGCATGCACACTAGAAAGCACATACACTTCCACTATAATGTTGTATTGAACGCGGCACTTTTTTGTGCCATGTCTTTGCTGTTTTGTGTGTATTTATAATAATGTCCCGTGTCAGGGTATTCTGTTTGCACCCATTGTGTTGTTGTCTGGGTGACACAGCACAAACTTGTACATGCATGTGTTTATGCATGCACTCTGTCTTTATAATACATGCATTCTCGGTTTATTGTATGCTTGTTTTCATAGCACATGCTAGTAACGTTGAGGAAAAGATGTGGAATTTATCCATATCATTCATAGAAAAACAGCTTGATACAAAGAGACCAGCCTCGAACGAGCTAATGGATTCTCATATGACGTGTCAAATAACAGCAAAAGGATCTTTGAGAGAACAAGCTCTTACAAATAAGAACGAAACACATCTTTAGATAATTTACAACTTCTTAGAAGGAATAAACTTACATCTCCGTTAGGTACTTTCTCTTTCAAGTTTCTAGGCTGTATTGCACATTCCACTTCTACCAAATGAGTATAAAGCACTAACTTTTATTTGTCACTAAAGAGCATATAATTTTAGAAAAGTGCATCAAAAGATGAAACTAAAATTGTGAACCCCCCCCCCCCAAAAAAAAAAAAAAAAAAAAAAAGAGGAAAAGAAAAAGAAAGAAAATTTCAAGGAAGAAGAGAACCATATGAACAAGAAATAATAATAATAATATATATACATTATACACGTAGTTTACAAGGTTTGAAGGATGGAAGAAGAGTGGGGTTGTTTGGGATTTGGTAAATAAAGAAAATATTGATACTTAAAACCCACAGATGGGGTATCCTTATTCTGGGTGAGTTATGGAGCTTGGGATTTGATAATTAGGTTAACTTACTCAGCAGATTTAATGCTACTAAAGCCAAAATCACAGGGTTGACAACCTATCGGCATCACGTCAAATGGTTTCCATTGATTAGTTTCTGTAGGTTCATATATGAAATATGAACCTAGCAGCCAGAATGAATCCTAGTGTGCAGTATAGACTGCAAGTAAGAATAAGGTGGGATGTAATCTGATTCAAAAAGTGCG